GGAAGGGGGGGCTTTGTGTCAGCCTGGTGGGAGGCTGTACCCCAAATGTTCTACTCCAGAGCTTGCTGAGGTTGGGATGCCTACCCTGCCTTCCTCTCACCAGTGTACTCCCACTGTGTTCCCCAGTCTCTCACAGTGGTTTTCCGAGAGCCCTTCCCAGTACAGCCTCAGGACAGTGAGAGTCCCCCTGCCCAGCTGGTCTCCACCTACCATCACCTTGAGTCTGTCATCAACACAGCCTGTTTTACCCTCTGGACCCGTCTCCTCTAAGGAATGGACCACTGAGTGTCACTGTTCCTCGAATCGTGATCTGTAAGATTACCCACGTGAAGCAGGACTGACCGGCCCTTCTGTGCCCAGCATGAGCCTAGACACTGAGGGATACCAAAACCTTTGTGCATTTACCTGGGGAGTCTGCAGCCCAGCCTGGCAACAGGGACTACCTTCCCTAAATACTCACAGCTGCTTACCAGCCCAGGGTGCTAGTGGGTCAGGTCAACTCCCTGAGGTTCCCATCTCCTCTCAGGCCCCTGGGCCCTTCCAGAAAGGGACTCCATCCTGCTCACGTAGTGGAGTCCAGGAATTCTTCACACCAGGTGGTTAGCACTCACTGGAGAACTCTACCTGAATCCTGCCTCCCTCCTTGAGCTCTTTGGTCTTCATTTCCCCCGGGGCATTATTGCTGGACATTGCCATTGAGAGAAGACACCTTGGTCCAACCCCAGCTCTGCCTCTGAAGCACCTGAGCATGGGCCAGTCCCTTTGCTCTTGGTGTTCCCATCTGTACATGAGAAGGTAGACTTAAAGCTCTCCCTTCTCCACAGCAATGCCGCAGACTGGAAGACTTGAGCATGAGCTGTGTGTCCCTTCTCAACAGGAGGGAAGCGATCCAGAGAAAGTGAAGGGTTAGACACTGTGTCCCCCTGCCCCCAATAACATACATGTATGAAAATGTTCAGCAGGTTGTCTTTAATTCAGAGGGTACTCAGGATGCTCAACTCACTGCCCCAGAGAAGCATATGGGTGGACTGCAGGGCCTCACTGGCCAGCCTGTGGGCGGCCCCGCCTGTCCCAGTAGGAACGGAGCCAACTCAAGCTCTCCACTGTGTCTCCTGAGGGGAGAAGGAGGCAGTGGCATCTCAACCCATGAGGAGGAAAACGTCTCCTGTTCAATACCTGTCCACGCAATTCTCCCTTCCCCAGGGCAGGCCTGGAGCCTGAGCCCACCCTTTACCTTGAGGCTGGTATTCACAGCCCACAAAGCCTTTGTAGCCTTCGTCTTCCAGCAGTTGGAATAGGTAGGAGAAATTTAGCTCTCCAGGGCTGCCAGGGTCCCCCCGGCCTGGGACCTGTGCCACCTGCACATGCCCTGGGGACAGATGTAGCAGATGTGAGCCCAGGCTCCTGCTGAGGCCTGAGGGACAGATGCAGGAGGCCTGGAGGGGTGGGAGGACAGAAGCAGCACAGCAGATGAGGAAGGAGCAGAGAGAGGGACCCTCTCACCAACAATGGGCAGGAACTCCCGGATGTTTCCTGTCAGATTTCCATCCATGATCTGCCAGTGGAATATGTCCTGGGCAGAGATTACTGCAGTCAGAGACCTCTCAGGCCACACCATTCTTCCCAGGTTCGGAGAACATGGGACCTCTGAGAGCACTCCTTTTTTTCCCACATACCATTTGTAACTGGAGGTTGGGTCTTCCAACCTTCTGTAAGATGGCTGCCGCTAGGAGAGAAACCAGGAGGGGCGCGTGACCCTCAAGGAGAGCACAAGAATCCAAGGGACAGGAGGCAGCACAGGGCTGGGGTCCTACCCTGCTGGGGCGAGTCCAGGAAGTACTGGGGGTCAGTGATGCGGGTGTTAATGGGCTCCAGCAGTCCCACGAGGTTCTCCTAGCACCATGTTGGATCTGTGAATAGAGCTCTTCCCCCCAGGTTTTCCTCTGTCTTTCAGTCACTGGTCAATCCCCTCACCAGCCCCTGTCCTAGGCCAGTGCCCAGCCTTATGCCTGGCTGCTCCGCTCTGTGCACCCTCTTCCTTGCACACTCAGATACATTTCATGTAAGTATGTTTGTCTATATGTATTTCCACTGTCATCTCACCCGAGCCAAAACCCCAGCTGCGTGCCTCAGGTTCTCCAGAAAAACTGTCTCCATTTCACCCCTGACTGCTGCCCGATCAGCACCCTGGGGTACTCGGCCGGCCATCAGGTGAATCCTGTGAGGGAAAATGGGACTGGAGGGGACCGTGGAGTCCATTCCAGAAACAGGGCCTTTGCTCCCTCAGCTCCCCATGTGCACCTCTTCCAGCTGCCCTTCTACCATGCCAACCCTCCCATCCCTCCAGGTCTCTAGTCCATACCACCTGGCCCTGACGCTCAGGCCTCAGGCGGCTCAGGCCAAGCCCTGTCCCGCAGTCCTGAGGGCCTCAGAGACCAGTCCCTCACTTAGCCCCTCCTGTACTTTCAACCTCTCCTTTCCAGTGACCCTTCTCCTCAGCCTATAACATGCTTAAGTCTCACCTATTAGAAATTATTTGGACCCTTCTTGAGAATTCCATGCTGCTTGTCTCTACTTCTTCTTAGCTTCTTCCCCTAATTTCTGTATCCCCTCTCGCACCAATAACAACCCCTTGTTGCCAGTTCCTTCTCAGCCTATTTAGAGCTACAGGATTTGACATTTATTTGATCAGCCCCACTTTGAGCCTTCCACCTCCCATCACCAACTGATCTTTATCAGCCACATCCAGCCCCAGCAAGCTACCTCTCCAGCCTCTTGAACTCTGCTGAACACACCAAGCTGCCTCTTGCCCCTGGCCACTGCATCCCTGCCTGGAAAGCTCCTTACATCAAGCCAGTGCTCACTCCTTAAGACCCAGTTCAACATCAGTACCTGTAGGAAGCGGTCTCTGATGAGCCCAGACAGGTGCCTACTCTGCTCCCACCGCCTCCGTGAACTGCCCCATTCTCAAATGCATCCATCCTGCGCTTTCTGTTTACTTTGCTATCTCCCCGGTCAGACTGAGCTCCCAGCATGGGATCCCAGCAGGAGAGAAGCATGAAAGAGTTGCCAACTGAGAATGACACACAACAAATACGAAAGGCAATTTACGAAGCACCAGGACTGCAGGGTGCGCACGTGCCAGTGCGCTCGGCCTCCCACCCCGCGCGGGCGTCCCGGCGCAGCGGGAGGAAAGGACGGTACCTGGGACAGCCCAGAGCCCGGGCGTACAGCACGGCCTGCTCCAGCCCCTCTCGGAAGTCCGCCTGCCTCCCGGGGAC